AAAAAATTACCAAAGCACTTAAAAATCAGGGACAGACGAGAATCCCGCTTATGGCAATAACAACTCAACAATATATCAGCTCTGCAAAACGTTTTCTAACGTAAAACGAAAGTTTTCCATGAAAAGTTTCACTCAAAATCAACAGATCGGTGCTAAAACGGCATTCTCGACCAACAAATTCTTCAGTAATAACCATACGAAAACAGTCAAAAGAATCAGAAACAAGACGTAACAGTCACTGAACAATATAATATAACGTAATGCGATTATATTTCATAATACGTTAAAAAAACGATAACACTGATTGTTGTCTGTGATACAATGCGATATGATTCAAAATCACATACTTAACAGCAAACATTATTACTAAACAAGATCAGTATGCAATATTCATCATATCGTTGAGGTGAATTTGATCCGTAATCGAATCAAAATCCGCAGAGTTCCACTGCTTCACGTACAGATAGAGGCCATCATCAGTAACATTAAATCAAATCGGCCACTGAAAATAACTGACATATCACTCAAGAGCTCTCATNCCCTGCTCAAATCCCGATTCTAGCACAGAGCACAATACTAGATCATCGCCTTCTTAATCCGACACTGGAGCCACCTCCTTCTTCATTACGAAGGTAGTTGAAACTACTTCAGTTTTCACTACCTGAGTCCTTGGAAAAGAAATGAAATCGTCCGAATACGACATAACGAATGAATCCTTCTGCTTTCTTGCTAACAACTTCAAAATTCAAAAAATCCTCATCACACAAAAACTAACCGTTCATTGGCATTTCGTCAATCTGAGTCGCATAATACTGCTCAATATCACGCAAAATACGAATGTCGTCTGACTTCACGAAATTAATCGCCACACCTTTGCGACCGAAACGCCCTGATCGACCGATGCTAAACACAAAGGCTAGTTTAATTTGATCATACTACTTTCAGCTGACTTCAACAATTAATACAAATCTCAAATCATAATATTTGGCTTGTTCACAAACCAAATTTTGCATGCCGAAATGATACCACTCTCTATTTCCACCCAAAACAATAAATGGAAACGTATAAAAACACTCTTGAAGATGCTATGCATGCCTTTAAACAGTTCTAAGCCCACAGACACCACGAAAGATCTCTGATGAAAGGATGAAAATCTTCGAAACCGAAACAAACCGATGAATGTAAAGTTCTCGATTGTTCGGCAGATCATAGTTGACCACCAACGACACCTGAGGAATGTCCAGACCACGTGCGAAAACGTCCGTTGATATTAGAAGACGACTAAATTCATCATCATCATTTTCATAAACTTATCAAACACTCCTTCAATCCAGTCACTCCATGCTAATGAATTCAGTAAATGAATTGAACCACAACTCAGAATGCGCTAAACACCTCGATTTGATAACGAAATATTATCAAATACCCATTTCCCACTGACCACTCTCAAACCTCCACTCATCACACTCCCAAACCTAACATGTCCCATACCTGTCTCCAGCTCTGAACTTCTTAACGATCGCATCTCGTTCCTTCTGTTCCATATCACCGTGCATTGCAGATACCGTGAAATTGGCTTCCTTCAACTTTTCCGCCAACCAATCCACCTTCAAATTCAACACAAATTTATGAAAACTCTTCAATCTTTCCAGATCCTAACTTTAAGAAATGGGAGAACAAAATGCAAGAATTAAAATTTATCAGCTCACTTTTCTTCGCGTGTTGCAAAAGATGACCGCCTGTGTAATCGTTAACGTATCGTACAAATCACATAACGTATCGAATTTCCACTCCTCACGATCAACCGCCACGAAGAACTGCTTGATACCTTCCAGTGTCAATTCATCACTGTAATTTTTACGATTAGCTTATTCCAGCTATTGATATTCAGAAACAGTTACGACTTCCAAACTCAGCACATCTCAAAAACAAAATTATCAAAGTTCAACCCGACTTAATACAACTGTAATATGTAATTGGTCGGCTTAGGCTCACAAATCAAATGACTTTCTATCCTTTCTTCAGCACGGTAAAAAATCATTACAATATAGTCGAAATACTAACCGTTTGACAAGGATTCTAATCGGGTTGGTCATGAATTTGCTGGTCATTTCGAGAATTTCGTGAGGAAGTGTTGCAGACAACA